TCTTTGAAATGCATTCAAAATGCTACTCCTCCTACAGCTTTGGTCTGATTTCAGTATAACTTGGCACACAGTCAAGTAGACTACACTTAGATACATAATTCTCTATACATGTACCAGTTTTGGATTTCAATGAACAGTGTTGCAATGGTTACTTAAAATAGAGATTTCTTTGAAATACATTCAAAATGCTATTCCACCTACACTTTTTGTCTGATTTCAGTATAACTTGGCATACAAGTAGACTACACTGAGATACATAATTGTCGTTATTGTTTTTTGATTTTGATGAATGATGTCGCCATGGTTACTTATATCCAAATTTCCGTAAAATTGTTTTAAAAGGCTACTCTTCCTACAGTTTTAGTCTGATTGCAATGAACTTGCCACAAAAAGAGACTAACCCAAGGATCATTATTCTATTTATTGCCGTTGCAAAGTTTCAAGTCCAAGTTCTACTAACATACAATCAATCAATCCTTTATAAGTACAACCAGTAGAGCTACAGTCTCGTCAGAGACTTCTGGTTTAATTTGTGAAGATTCTTTGAAGTACAAAGCATAATTATCATTATTTTAACACCATGCTAATTATGTCAGTGGATACTTAAACATAATAATACCGCCATCTAATTAAGTTATTATTGCTGGCTTGGACAGCCCACACGTAAACTTCAATTTGGAGACTGGAGTATATATTGATGAGACAAGTGATAATTATGAGACCAAGGTAAGTATTTATATTGGTAATTTTTCCTGAAATAACCATCAGTCTTTAAGACGATAAACATAAGAAGCAACAATGGCAGGTATGATTGAAAATGGGATATGTTTAATTTATTGACATGGTTTTTTATAAAGAAATTTTATCAACCATAGAACAAGGTTTATTTTCAAATAAAGCAATTTATATTAAAAATCTTGTACTTTAGTTGATGTCAGAATGTGTTTTATCTTTCTAGTATTTTATTAAAACATTTATTTGTAAACCTGAATATAAAGCCCCCTTTTTTTCTGTGATCCGTTTTTATCCGGTTCCTTAATTTTTTCAAAGCCCTTATCTCTCTCAGCCAATCAGATTGCCGCGCAAGGCATCTATTTACACAATTCTTTGTTTACTCGGGAGTACTAGAAAATTTTCTGACGAAAAAGCAAGCGTTTCATTGTAATTATCAACTTGATCGCCCTGTGCTTTTGCAGTCAATTTCGTAAGATCCATAGTTTTGATCTGTACCACTGTGCAACTTTGCAGGTCGGTATTTCGTACTTTATAATCAAGAACTTTCTGTTCAACTTATGTAAGTGAATTTGAAGAAAATGGCGGATCGTAGGGGCTCCCTACGGGTTAGCCTTATTGGACATTCCCTTATCCGTCGTCTCAGAGATTTTATGACTCATAATCCCGATAGCTTCAATCTTCGCCTCGACAGTGAACAGTATCAAGTGTCTTGTTTGGCCAGATGTGGTCTCACTATTACCAGACTCAGCTCCTTACGTCAGTTCACATCATTTCTTATAAGACCAGATTTGGTATTCATAGAGATTGTTGGAAATGGTTTAGTTTGCAGCACTCCGAACATTTCAAAGCTGGTTAAATACATTATCGCTTACGCGCAATGCTTAACTCATGGTTGCGGAGTCAAACAAGCTATAATTGGCCAAATTCTCAGGCGGGACCCGCAACACTCTACTGCTTTCTACAACAAAGATGTTTTGTCTGTAAATAATAAACTTGCACCAGCTTGCGCCAGCCTGTCAAACATCTCCTTTTGGAAACATCGGTTTTTTTTTTTTTTTTTTTTTTTTTGGTCTACAATGGACTATTTGGCAGTGGATGGTGTTCACATTCGAGCAGATCTCAAAGTGAAATATACTCGGAAGTATCTTCAACGCATTAAATCTGCCATTCTGCATGTTCCTAAAAATATTTAGATGGGGATTTAATTTCCTTGTTAATATTGCACTTAATTTTGATCCCCTAGTCTCACTTTGAAGCACATTATTCATTTGTTGTCAAAAAAAACGTAAAATGTTAAGACATTTATCATACACGTCTTATATATTAATAATATTTCTGCTTAAAAGCACCTACTAATCAACTATTTGTTATGTACCATTTGTGTGGTATGAACTGAAAGCACATTTTGTGTTGTCTGTGTATTTATCATTGCCTTTTCACTTTTACAAGTTTGAGCTTGTATGAAGTGTGCCTATATTGTTTTTCAATTTGGCAGAATTCAATGTTGAGTTTGTACTCAACTCATGCAAGTATGTGCTTGTCTGCTGTGACATTACAGCTTTGCCAGTTTGTGCTCGCCTTACAATGCTATTAAATGTTGATTTCTGATAATATTGTGAGTATGTGCTCATTATTTGCTTTCTTAGTAAATTGCAGAATTCATTGTTGAGTTTGTGCTCAACTCATGCAAGTATGTGCTTGCCTGCTGTGACATTACAGCTTTGCGAGTTTGTGCTCGCTTTACTATGCTATTAATTGTTAATTTCTGATAATATTGTATGTGCTAACTATTTGCTTATTTAGAAAGTGGCTGCTTGCCATTACCACACTGTGAGTTTGTGCTCGCATCGCAATACATGCATGTTTTTGTAACTGTCTGTTTTGTTTTGTATCTACAGTTGTACCGACAGTTCAAAAACTGATCTTTATAATTTTATATAATAAAATACCACAAGATTTGGTTATACAGTAGAAGTACATATATTTATATATTAAAAAAAAACGAAAAGTTGGCATTAAAAAGATTCACTTTTATTTCTTTCGTACAACTTTAAGGCTATTTTGTGTTGTTGTAAGTGTTACACTTGCTTACATTAAAACTGTGTTTCCCCCTTTTCAGACAATGCCGCCTAAACGTAGACAGGCACAGGCACAACTAACTAATATCCCAGCTACGCAGCCTTCCAAACAGCAAAGGAAGAGGCCTTCAACCACTGTTGCACCCACCCATATGTCCATTGACTATGATTTACTTGCGGATGCCATTCTGAAAAAAAAAAACAAAAAAAAAAAAACAAAGAACTCTAGACAACCAACATCAGCTCCTACAGGAAATCCAGAAATATTTAATCCCGCTCCCACTGACGGAGTCATTACAGAACCAACACACGACCAAATATCCAATCCAGTCTTTGCCATCATTCATAATGCCAGCAATAAATCAGCCTGCCAAACGACGCAAGCAAACACTGAGGCCTCCACAAAAGCCACAGCTGATCCTGCACATGTTTTCAATATTCTTGCAGTGTTGAATACTTTATTTGGAGGTGAGTCAGCAGCCAACAATGCTCCTCAACCTTTAATTTTTTTCTAATGATAATCCTCTGGGGGCCACTGTTTCGAACAGATTAAAACAGAAAATTTGGGACAATACTTTTTAAAATCTGAGATTACTGCTTCCCAATCAACAAGAGGATATTTTTTTCTGAAAATGGGGTAATCAATTTCTAACAAGGCAAATTCCAAAAATTTCCCAATTCTATCAACCAATGGACATCTGCCTTCCTTATTTTTTCATCTATTTATGTCCAAAAGACGCCTTCAGATGCAGCCCAACTCTTAAATACATTTATATGATTCGCGAGGTGAGTTTCTCAACCAAGAGTGACTCCTGGCGTTATTATGATGAAGAATTTCGCAAATTGCGGCAGTCCTCTCCCTTGGCTTGGCAAGAACCCCTACCCGAGCTTGTGTTAAGAGCAAATCTCTAGCCTAGTAAATTTCGTCCCTCAAACCAACCCTTTCTTGCCAAGAATAAATTCAACAGCTATTCTAATCCAAAAATCAAGTTCTGCTACTCATACAACCAAGGTCAGCCCTGAAGCAGCAAAACAAGGGCTTTCTCAAACTGAAATCCCAAAACTAGGCAGAAGGAAATCATATGCTGTACAAAAATACATTCGCTTTAATTCCCTACACAATAAAGTCACATCCCTGTAAGGTTCCTCAATGGTTGCTGACTCACCATCCCGATATTTAAATGTACTATCTAATTAATTAAATGACTTTACCATAGCAGGTTCAGAATTTTTCTGCCTGTTATCTGTGTTTATTATACCTCTGTGAATTTTTTCTATATAAAAATATTACGAATAAACATGCTATTTTTTCCAAACAGCCCCTACCGTGGAATAGTTTTTGTGCTATTTGCCCATGGTGAAATAGTCATTAAACTATTCACCGGCAGCATTCTGTTTCCCTCGCTTTTCATCTCGGAACTCTTCTGGTTTTATACAGATTGTGATGTAACACAAGTAAAGACTGCTTCGGTATAATAAAACACTTATTTACTGACTATTCGGACAATGGCAAGTTTATCGTTCCCCTCGACAGCAACTATTTCCCTCGGCTGCGCCTCGGGAAATAGTTTCTGTCTTGGGGAACGATAAACTTGCTATTGTCCTCATAGCCAGTAAATAGGTGTATAATATACATCTCGGCTTTAATTTTAACAGATCCTGAAGTTGTCTGCCGGTTTAGTATTCTTTCCATCACTTGGTTCAGAATTTATTTGCCTCTGTCCCTTGTATTTGGTGCCATGATATATGTGTAGCAATAATGGTTATTTTTTTCGGGTATCATTTATTTAGGTGCATTAATATCCTTAATTTCCTCATCTACTCTCTTCAATGTCTGCACCAGTTTTTTCTTCATTAGGTATATCCAATTTCATAAGTTTACTGAGAGCCCCCTTCTTCTTTTATCGAACACGTTGTGTACATATTATGTTTGTATATTTTGATACAATTTCCTAAACCTTCACTGTAACATTTTGTTGTATTTTGCTAACTCTTACCTCACAATCATAAGGCATTAAGTTCTGTGATCTGTTATCATGTAATTTTGTAACATGTTCTTTATTACTTTAGTCCCAACCATGTGTGTTCATATAACAACGTTACATATTCAGGGAATTACCAAGGCAACAACTTGAGTGTTGCTTCAACCCGTTGGGTTGATGGCTTTTTTATGCACCTCATACACACCTCCTAACCTTATTTGCATAAATCGGAACTTTTCGGAGATAAACGTCATAAAATATGAACAAAATCCGTAAACGTCCGAACAGCTTTCATTGCGAGAACTCTCGAGAATTAGAAGAGACCAACACGCGAGTGGTGAAAATCGAGAGAAATATTCAACTTGAAAAAAGAGGTAAAACTTTATGTTTTCTCGATTTACAAGGTTTTTAAATTGCATAAAGTTGAAAAACAAACGTTTCTTTACATGAAAAGTGAAAGTATGTATGAAGTTTCTCATTCTGCCACGTGCTATTGTACATGAAAGTGTCAAAACAGCACCTCTCGATTTTGTAAACATTTTTCCACGTGCAAGGGAGTAGTTGTGTCGGTAAAGATGAACATACATACACTGGTTTAGGAAACAAAAGCACTCGTAAGAAGAAGTCGATTTATTTTTTTCGATTACCTGTAGCACAAAATGGCTAAATATTTAAGGCCAAGTTTGTAAAATGCTGTAAAAGCATGTTTTGAATTGAAGAGAAAATGTAGGTGTGCTATAGTCCGTTCCTAAACAAGCTATGTGTATTCAGAGATTGCCCATGATCTGTGAGAACCTTGTGTCTCTTTTTTAACATCAAGAGACTAAGATTTAATTCTATCCATATCATAGTACATGCACACAAGCTCTGCCGAATTTCCTCTATATATGTATAGGTCATTAATAGGTGTTTACATTTGTTTACATTTTGCACTTTTAATATTGTCAGTTATTTATACCAATTATGCTGTTTTCAATAGAACCTAATGATAAGAAAATGTTTGCTACTTCTCTTATTTATCACAGAATTTATGATCAGATGATGCCATGCAGTTCTCACATATATCAGACTATACAGACATGAATATTAATTTAATACACCCAGACTTTACATATGCAGTTTATGATATCCTGGAACATTTCTTGCATGTTTACCACTTTTAACTTATGAATACAATGTACTTTAAGTTAGTTGATTTTTTTCTTATAAAAATATTGTCCATCCAAAACTAACTAATGAAATGGTATAAATATTATACAGTAACATTGCAGGCATCAATCTGTAATATTGAAATTATTTATTTAAGACCTCTGTCAATGTAAACATAATTTACAGTGATGTTTTGCATTTTTGTTTGAGATAATATATAATTTACATATTGTAAATTTATTGTTATATGTTAATATTAAAAGTAACTATTTTTTTGCTTCGTCTATTTCAGGTTTAAGTACATGTTGAACAGCCTTCTCCATAAAGCGGTATGAAAAAAAAGCACACAATTAATAATATAAAGTCATGAAGAAAAAAAAAATTATTAAATTTAGAAAATCTATATTATGTAGCATAAAAATGTGACATTCCAGGGCTAAAAATAATTATTTTCTTTCACTGGTCACTATAGGGCTATCACCTTAAATTTTTTCCTGGTAAACTCAGTACTTCGACTGTCCCACTGAGCCAGTAGATTTTAAAAAGACTGGCCCAAAACCATAAAAAATAATAGTGATATATTTTTTGTTTATATTTTGATACTTAGTTGTTTATCTTAACAAAACAAGAAAAGACAGAACTTTGCCTGGCAAGTTTAGTTACTAGCCCAACCATAAATGAATTTTGTTACATGTATACATAATAAACAATGACCCAATGGACACGTACCCTCACTATGTACTAGCCTAAATTAAAAATTCATTGGCCCCAGTCCAGTGGGCCATTAATTATTTCGAGCCCTTCATTGTAAATTTGTAACTTACTATAATTCAGTAAGTTGGCAACAATCTGTGCTTTTTTTGTATGTTTTTTTTTTTAATGATATGTCCATCCGCACCAGTGATGATCCCACACAAATTACACACACAAGGAAATAATTTTATTTCATTAAAAAAAAATTAAATGGGCTTTACAGATTTATCATTTTTGACTTTTTAAGAATGACATGTTGATTGAATTTGAAAATGAACTTCCATGTGCATGGTGCTGTAATGCACATAAATCATAAATGAGAATTTCATTCTAAAAATACCAACTATAAAAATAAATAAATCTAATCAAATTATTATTTGGAATGTATGTTTCTTGCAGGATATTCTGAAGACAGCGATGACGTGAAAGTTCAAGATTTGCCTATTGTGAGCATTGTAAGGATAATTTTATAACATTTTATATGTAACATTATTACATGTATTTAGTTATTATCATGCCTGATTTGAAGAAACAAAGATAGGATATTTTGATTTTGCTCAGTTGCACCAATATCTGTTATACATGTGTATCTATGAAAAAAAACCTGTGGATAATTTGTCAGACAGAGAGATAGAGAGAGGGAGGGCTTTTGATAATTGAAAATCATGCATCCGTTACTTTTTTTGCTTGTTCAAATGATTTATTCACATTGTTTTTTTTTTCAAATGATTTATTCACATTCTTTTTTTTTTTCGGTAATACAGAATGGGTCAAAAAATGCACAAAGGTTAATCACATCATGCTGCATTGCAGTGAGTTTATATGCAGAGAAATTTACCATTAAATGATATTTTAAAAAAATAGAAATAAACAGTAAAACACACTTGGCTGTATGTTTATGCAAACAATTTTTTTGAACTGCCAATTATGCCAATACATGATTCAGCATATTCTGCACACTTAAAATGATTTACATATTTGTATGATTTGCAACTAGTGCAATGCAATTTGGCAGTATTGTTCATTCATGCAGTTCTCTTTGTGATCTAACTGCAAATACATGCATATATATTTTTATTTGTACTAATTAAGTTAAGAGGATTGTATTAATTTATTATTCATATTTGTATTTCAGCTGTAACAGAACAATTTATCTGATGCAAGCATCAATCATGAGAATAAGAAAGGAGGTTAGGTCCAAAGAGAAGGTATGTTTATAAGTGGTGATGATATGTTATTGATGTAAAAAAATTATAGCAATTAAATAGAAAGAACAATTGTAATTTTGCCAGTCAGAAAAAAACAAAATGAAACATTTTTTTTAGCTCAACTGAGTCAAAGGCTCAAGGCATAGGGACTTGAGACAATCTTAGCAAAATCGGGTATATAGTATAAAAGGGCTCCCCTGTTATAATATAGCTATATACCTGATTTTGCTAAGATTGTCTCAAGTCCCTGTAGCTCAAGGTAGCTTTTCTGATCAAAATTTGTCCCTTGTCTGTCATTGTTGTCATTGTAAACTTTTCACATTTTCATCTTCTTCTCAAGAACCACTGGGCCAATTTCAAACAAACTTGGAACAGATTATCCTTGGGTAAAGGGAATTCAATTTTTTTCAAATGAAGGGCCACACCCTTTTTCAAGGGGAGATAACTAAGAAGTAGTGAAAATTGGCTGTATTTAAAAATCTTCTTCTCAAGAACCGGAGGGCTAGAAAAAAAATTTAATTTAAGTGAAAGCTTCTTGACAAAATGTAGATTCAGGTTTGTTCAAATCCCCAGGGGTAGGGTGGGGCCATAAAAGCCAATCAAAGTTCTACATAGAAATATATAGGAAAAATTCTTTAAAAAATCTTCTTCTCAAGAACAGTAAAGCCATGATTGGTGATATTTATATGGAAGCATCCTTAGGTAGTGTAGATTCAGATTTGTTCAAACCATGACCCCCAGGGTAGGGTGGGTCCATAATAGCCAATCAAAGTTTTGCATAGAAATATATATAGGAAACATTCTTAAAAATCATCTTCTTATTAACAGTAAAGCCATGATTGGTGATATTTAAATGGAAGCATTCTTAGGTAGTGTAGATTCAAGTTTGTTCAAATCATGACCCTTGGGAATAAGGTGGGGTTATAATGGCCAATCAAATTTTACATAGAAAAATCTTTAAAAATCTTCTTCTCAAGAACAGCAAAGCCATGATTGGTGATTTTCATATGGAAGCATCCTCAGGTAGTGTAGATTCAATTTTGTTCAAATCTTACCCCCAGAGGTAAGGTGGGGCCACAATGGGGGATCAAAGTTTTACATAAGAAAATGGACGAAAAAATCTTTTTCTCAAGAACAGAAAAACTATGTTTAGTCATATTGACATGTAAGCACCCTCATGTAGTGAAGATTAAAATTTGTTTAAAACATGACCCCTGGGGGTAGCAAGGGGCCACAATGGGGGATCAAGTTTTAAAAAGTATTATATTGGAAAAAAGTCTTTAAAAAAACTTTAAAAATCTTCTTCTCAAGAACAGCAAAGTTATATGCTATATGGATATTGAGGCATCCGCAAGTAGTATAAAATTCCCTCCCCCCCCCCCCCCCCCCAAGTAAACTTTTCAATACTGAACTGATTTGTGCTTTTTTTCTAGCCGATGTCCTCAGGTGAACCCATGGGCCTCTTGTTAAAGTCTTAATTCTTGTCAAGAACAGACAGGTCATGATAAGTCATTATCGTCATATTATCTTGCTAGCATCCTCTGAGATAGTGCAGAGCAGATTCAGATTTGTTTGAACCATATTCCCTGTGGGTAGTGTAGGGCTACAGTGGGGATCAAAGTTTTATTCTGAAATATTTAGGGTAAAAGCCTTTTAAAAGACAGGCCCACCATAAATCATATTATTATGCATGATTAAATTCATCTTGGTAAGGAATCCCATAATCTAGGGTTAAGGATGGGCCATAATTAGGGGTAAAATATTTATCTGTAAATATTTAAGGAGGGGGGATCTTATGTAAATATTGGAAAATCCTTTTTGTTCATTTCATGGATCTTAGGCTAAGAGGGGGCTAAAATAAGTTTTCATAATTTTATTTTCAATTTTAAGGAGACTTAATTTTGTTTTTTATCTTTCTGTCTTTCAATTAATCTTTAAACATCAAACTAGTTGCAACTTAAAATAGCTGGTTATAAATCATCAACAGAGCTCACAAACAGTATGTGGTTAAAATATCTACAAATATCAGAGAAAGGAAAACAATATTTTGGGGCATAGAAAAGGGGCTTAACTCTTATCATTTCAACACGTGAAAAATGTGTGTTGTTGAGAAACATTTGAATATAGTGCCGTCTAATTATGTACAGCTAAACTTCAGTATCTTAAAATCAAACAATGTCGACTACCTGGGGTATGTTGACATTCATCAGTATTACCTAGATAAATGATTTGCTAACACTTGGAAATGTATATGATTTATTTATATTTAATTGGTTCATTTTGTACAAATCTTTTTCTCATGCATATTGTTGATGAACATTATTATACCTCTACTGATTTTTTCCCTATATAACATTAGATCGTTAGATGTGACTGTTTCCCTAGAAATCGTTAAGAATGGACTAATCCCCGTGTGTTAGTCAAGTGAGCTAATCTCTGCTTCGAAAGCTAATTCCCGGCTAACCATAAACCTTTAGGTTTTACTTTAACATTGGTATGATATGTGAATGGACTAATCCTCATGTGTTAGTTCAGTAAGCTGATCGATATCCCTGCTTTGAAATCATGCTATCTGAATCCTCTAAATTTTAAGTTTGTATCGGTATAATAAAACAGTTAAAAGTATATCATTGAGGGAGTTAGCAAAATTCCAGTTCCTCTCGAACAGGACTATTTCCCTCGGCTTCACCTTGGGAAGTAGTGCTGGCCTTGGGGAACTGGAATCTTGGTAACTCCCTCAATGATATACTTTAACTGTATAATAATAAATTGATTTTGCATCCATATATGGCATATACTACTATTCCAATAACAGCATGTCACTTTGTTTGATAAAGCATGCAGTTTCACATGTTGACCACCATATTTTTTCATTGATTTGGGCATTTAATTTCAATGATAAGAAATACTATTTTTCACATGAACAGAGAAGCCGACAATGGTTTTGACTGACCATGTGTTGTTGCTTATTACAAATGCTGTCATTGTAAACAATCATTCGGTGCGACTGCTCAGTATTATCAGTTTATTGCTGGATTCTCTATTTCATATGCAAAGTAGTATTCATTTCATTGAAATTTAAGGAGGCGGGGGGGGGGGGGGGTCAACAAATTAACCATCAGATACAACTTATTTTTTTAGATATGATATCTCAAGCTGTCAGCTATCATTTGGCAAAGAAAAAATTCATACTTTTTAGTTTTAAAATTTGATCATTTTTGTATATCTTTATATGGAGCTCTTCTTCTAAAGGAGATCAATATAGTCTAAAAATGGCCACGACCACCCAGCCCTCTTAACACCCAGTCAATGAGAAATGTGGTGTTCAACATGTGAAACTTAAGCATGCTTGATCTAACAAAGGGGCACGCTGTTATTGATGTGATAGTATGATTTTTTTATATACTCGGTTTAGGGTTCAACTTTGGTATCTCGAACACTGAGTGATATCTTGATCACTATGGAGATGTCAAAGTCATTTTGAAGTCCCTTGAACCACATTTTTCTTCTTTATATCTTACCCTCAAGCTCTCAACCCCTTGAATATCTCAAAGTTTTTCATTGGTCCCATTGAGTTCAAGATAATAAGGTTTGACTGTATTATACTGATTCAAATTAATGGATGATGCATTATAAATAAAGCAATCTTATATATTATTGCATTTATATTTTCCAGGCAATGTAAGAAATGATTGCTGAATTCCTGAGGATTGGGATGAATCTTTTCTATTCTTAATAACTGTCCAAACATCATTTGAGGATCCCTTCCTAAGAAAAGAAGAATTTGCCTATTCAGAGAGTCCATAATTTACAAAATATTATGTAACATAAAACTAGCGTCTTCATATTTTATTTAATTATAAAACAGTAGTAGAATATGTTTGGAAAAAAGTAGGGGGCTATAACAAGCTCTCACTGGTACTGCATGTCTAATATACATGTATTAGATTTTTTAATTACACATGTATTTTAAAACAGATTATCAGTAAAATGTTAGTCATTCAGTGGCTTTTATTTAGATTTATTATTTTAAAAAATGGAACTTGAATCTGTTTAAATAGGAAGGAAAAAAAAAACTAGAATTCAGAAGGTACATGTACATGTATTTAGTTTTGTTTATTATAAGTTGTTCAAAATTTAGGGAGCTTGTGAAGGATATCTAAATATTATTTAAAAATTTATTTTTCATAGTTAAACAATTTAATTTTTATGATAACATATGCTCTGTAATTTACAACTTCATTTGTTGTACAACATTCCATTGTCTGTCTACCTGTAGGAGTTCATTTCTTGTAAATAAAAATGAATACATGATGTTTGTTCACATTGCCATTTTTTTTTATATACGAGTCCTGAGTTATAAATTTTGTACATACCTGTATGTACCTTTTTTATTAAATAATTTAACTTTAACCAAATATTAACTGAATCTAATTTTGTAGGTTGATACCTTCCAGAAATATTTACGTCTACCAGGTACATGTGAAATCAAATACTGTATACTTGAAAATCAGGATATTTATTAAATGGAAATCAAGTTGCACATTCATGTATTGTGAAATTAGATAGACTGTGTTGTTATTATGTTTATACTAACTCAACATAAACATTGATCGGATGTGATCCTGGTTAATTAAATAAAGGATGTGAAACCATAATAATTTCTTCTTCTTTTTTTTTTAACAATTAATTACACTTTTCAAATTTCAGACTTGATGTATCTAAACTGATAAAAGAAATTGACTATACCATTAAAAATTCTTGAGTTGTCTCTCTTTGTGGAAATATTTATCTGTTGCAATGAATGCTCCCTTGGGTTTATGACCCTGAATATTGATAAGGTTGGGAGGTGTGTCATATGTTCCCAATAAAGTTTGATGTTGCATTATATCGCATGTGTGTTGTAACAATATTGTGGGTGGGAGACCACTGTTGTGTAATAATTTAGTGACTTGCATTTCTAGTCAAGAAACAGCCAAATTCTTTTATAATTGTTTTTTGGATTACATTTTTCGTCCTTTAAATGAATGACAAGTTTTTACACCTAACATGTTTCCCGTTTTAAATATTGGAAACAAACAGAGCTGCTATGTTGCCTTGGACTACCAGTTGGTTTTTAACATAAATCTATTTAATTACATACATAAAGCTCCTTAACATGTTTTCTGTTATAAATATTAGAAACAAACAGAGTTGCAATGTTGCCTTGGACTACTTGTAGGATTTTAACATAAACCTATTTAATTACAACCATAAAACTCCTTGCTAAACTCTAGAGAATATATATTGTGCAAGTTGATATTATTTTTTCTTTCTTTAAAAAAAATAATATTGTTGTGTATGCTATGTGACATTCGTGATTCGTTTCAGATGAGTGTGTGGTGTGCAGCAAATTTGTCCGTCCACGACAAGAAGACTTGATATGTGATGACTGCAACAGATGGCAACACAGGACTTGCAAGTCGGGAAAATCATTTTTTTTATTTGATGGATTAAAAACACACAATATCAAACAGCAAGTTCTACATAGTTTTTAGTTTTAAAAAAGTTTTTAGAACCAAAAAAAAAAAAATTATACCCAGTAAATAATTTTCTGTAAAAAACCCAAAAATTTTGTTTATTTCCTGAACATAATTGCATAATTTCCATTGGACTTACAGGTCTCACCCGACAACAATACACAGATCTTGTGATGAGCAGAGATGACTTTGAGATCCTTTGCTTGAAATGTAAAGAGGAGAGGGACGACAGTAGTGTGGTAAATTTTGACATAATAATTTTGTATTGTAACTACAGCACAAGGTTTTAAATCGCTCACTACCGCTATCCCGAGTGAATGCCCTTGAATCACCAGATGGCGATACCGTCGATTTCTAGTTAGGTAGTTCCGGTTTCACTTCTGATCATAACAAAAACAAAACGTTGGCGATCTCTGCTAGTTTTCCGACTTGTCCCTAACGCACAGGTAAGTGTTATCTACATTCTTGTGATTTTTATTACTTAAACTTTTCATTCCATTCCAAAAATGTACGCTTACTTATTTTAACAGCATACAAACGGTATTCATTTTCAGAATGACATTGCAAATTGCATCGATATATATATCTCGAGATGATCTGGCAAAATTGTATCTATAAATGTCAGCGATAAAGTGTTTAAAGATATTATCAAACTTTCGACAATGTTTTCTTTGGCAATGAGACTTTTTAAGGGTGTGATTATTTAATGAGTTACATGACAAGTCCATTCTCGTGAACGGGGGGGGGGGGGGAGGGGGGAGGGGGTCTAAGTACTAAGTTTCCAAAGTTACAGGTCTTTAAAATTTTGCAGCTCATCATGGAAAACAAAATATGTCGTGGAGGGAAGAGATACTGTGTTCTGTGCTCAAACAGTCAAGGACAAATTCTTGAAAATGGCACCAAAATTTCACTTCATTGTTTGCCAGGAGGTTCTAGTAAAGAAGATATAAAGCGACGCTCGATTTGGATTCAGAGAATAAAGCTCGTTCGGCCAAATGCTCCGATTACCTCGAATACAAGACTTTGTAACCTTCATTTTGAGGGAAACTCCTGTACAAAAAGTGCAGTTCCTGTTCATATGGATCTTTCCAAAGCAAAAAAGGAAATCTCTTCACGTCGTCCCCTATTTCGGAAAAATTTGGATGAAAATAATAACAGTGAAAACTCCGATAAAAGTTCCAATGCTAATTTTGATGTGAGTACTATTATTCAGAGCATTCCAAGTAAAACTCAGGATGTTTCAACCCAGTCTTCTGTTGTTGATACAGATATCTCTACACAGACTAACAGTACAAATACCTGTGAACAGGAAGAAAGTGGAACTCAAACACATTTACCAAAACTTGTGCCTGAAGATTTGGAGAACAATGACGACAAGACTCGTTATTACACAGGATTTCCAAATTTTGCAACATTTTCATTAATTTTTAACTTGTTATTACAACATGGGGCACATAAATTGACATACTGGGAAGGTCAAAAGAGAACTACAGAAATAGAGGACAGAAAATATATTAATGAATTTACTTCCAAACCAGGAAGGAAAAGAAAATTACGTCCAATTGATGAGTTTTATTTAGTTTGTTTAAGACTTCGTTTAGGTTTATTACAAGAAATTTTGGCAGATCTTTTTGGAATTTCAATAATGTCAGTATCAAGAACTCTTAACACATGGATTAATTTTATGTATGATCATATGAAAGGGCTTATTCCTTGGCCGTCTAGAGAACAAATATTAGCAAATTTGCCTTCAAGTTTTGTTGATATGCCAGATGTCAGAATAGTAATTGATGCTACAGAATTTTTTTGCGAAAAACCTAGTAGTCTTACTGCACAATACTTGACTTGGAGCGAATATAAAAATCACAACACTTTTAAGGTTTTGATTGGTGTTGCACCGGTCTTGTTTCATTTATATCACGTGTTTGGGGAGGCCGTGCATCAGACAGACATATTGTTCAGAAAAATGGTCACCTCTTTTTGCCACTTCTTGAGAGTGGCGATATTATATTAGCTGATAAAGGTTTCACAATAGGTGACTTACTACCAGGTCACATTGGTTTAAATATGCCCCCTTTTATTGCTTCAAATGCACAAATGACTCAGAAAGAATTTTTCAAGACACAACAAATTGCAGCCCCTAGAATTGTTGTAGAAATGAAAATGGAACAAATTAAAAACTTTAAAATTTTACAGAATGTACTTCCTTTGACTGAGGCACACCTTGTAGAACAAATGATTGTTATATGTACTGCTATAACTAATTTATACCCCCCTTTGCTGAAATAAACAGGATGATTGAATCTGTAATGTTTTGTATAATTTAAGATTGTAACAGAGAAATCTGTTCTAGTCAGTTGTGAGATATGTAGCTGTGCATTTTTATTAGGTCACCTGAGTGACTCATTCGACCCTTTGCTACCTCTTTTTGCCCGTCATCTGACTTTTGTTGGTCATAAACCTTAATATATTTTCAGCTTCTCCTTAGATTTACTGAACCAATTTCAGCCAGGTTTGGTAAATTATAGCATGTTTGGTAAAAAAAAAAAAAAAAAAAAAAAAAAAAATAATGCAATATTCAATAGTATTCATTTTGCTAGTAACATTAAGCAGTATGTCTTATTCATGTTATTGTTTGCATTATTGTAAACTAGATGTGTGTGTGTGTGTGTGACACAAGTGCTGTACCCCCACCAATATGCAAATGTAAAAATAATAATGTGTGGAAATGGCTAAAAAACAAAAAAATATTTTATTGATTTTGTTTTCCATAACAAACCTTACTTTAATAAGAACTGTGTGAAATAATGATAGGTGACTACCAAATGCCATGGGCCTCTGGTTCATTTAGATAATTAGACTTTTTTTATATACCTGTATAAGTATTCAATATGTTCAAATGCATTGTATATTGTGACATTAGCACATCAAAAGATTTTCTGTGCATTTATTCCTATGTAAAAAAAAAATAATGCACCAAATTCTTCTGCAGTGACAATGGTGACATGCAGATCAAACACACTTATGTCATTGTTATTTGATAATGGAAGTTGGATTTAATAAATTTACTTCTGAATATTTTAAATTACATTTTCAAAGGTCTTTGTCCATTAAAAGATAAAACTCCAGATAAGGAAATGTTTACATCTTTATACTCATCACATTACAGAACCACCTTCTCGTGTGTGGCTCAGTTATAAACTTGGCTGGGCTTGCAGTCTTAGATATCTAATTTAATATTGAATAACCTACATATATGTATATGTATCTCATTTTAA